GCACCTAAAACCACCTTCTACATTAGATTGTTGCAGTACATTCGTGCACAGCCGGTATGAGTAGCTTCTCTGATCTCGTATGAAGAATACGTTGCACTTACTCACTTTAAAATGCAGTAAATTTTGGGATGAAGTTTCATGTACCGTTTGTAGGTCATACTGAAGCAGACGCTGGTCAGCATTCACATGAATCCTGCGCCAAATCTTGAGATCGTAGACGAACAGTAGGGAGTAGGAAACGATTGACCGTGCGAGGTCGTTAATAAACACCAAAAACAATCGTGGCCCTAAGATTGAATTTTGCGACACGACAGACTCGACTTGTATGGGGTATGATTATAAGCCCCGAACTCCGACCATTAATTGCCGTTGAAAGAGAAAGTTGGCAATCCAGCTTAGAAAAGGATCACCGATCCCGCAATACTGGAGCTCGGAAAGGAGCATCTGATGGTCTGGAGGATCGATTACTTTGAATACTCCAGGTAGATCACATTAACTTCTCCAGTGTCCGCTGATTCGGTCCGACTGCAGCGTACGGTTAATAAGTTCGTTGTGCATCATCGCTGTCCACGGAAGCCGTGCTGCACAGGCGTAATGAGGTTACGGTTTTCCAGATAACACACCAGCGTATCGGCAACGAATCATTTCATGATCTTGGAGAATATAGGGGGAAGAGATATTTGGCGGTATTTAGTGGGGTCAGTTCTGATTCCGCCTTTGTGCACCTGGGTTATTATGCCAAGCTTCCACATATCAGGAACTTGGTTCTGGTCTAAACAGCACTAGAAAAACTGAGCTAAAGATCCTGCTAGTTGGTTTGTTGCTGCTCCCAATGTCTCTGAAGGTATGGTATTGACACCCAGAGAGCTGATTTTACGTAGAGACGTCAACTTCTGCAATATCACTTCAGTCGTAAAAGAGATGTGGGTTAGTCCCGGAGGGTGGAAGACAAGATCTGAAAGAGTACCTGATGAGAAAACACTCTGAAACGTGAAAGCATTTGGCATCCGCAGTGCTTTTTCTGCTTCTGTAGCCGAATTTTTTCGGCCGTCCGTCCCTCTGAGTAGTGGATATCATTGGCTCAACTTTCTTAGACCATTGACATCCTTGTACAACAGTTTGTGATCAGCAATGAAGGTTTTTGCGATGTTCTGATGATAAGGTGCTTTGTTCTCTTTGAGCAGTTGAATGCAGGGTTTACGTTGGGCAGCGTATTTATCCCAGGTTACTGGGGTGGCGGCTTCTCTGTACACCCGGCGTGCTTCGTTGTGTACTCTCAACCATTTTCGAGTTCTATTCCTAAAAAGGAAACTGATTTAGAGCCATTATAAACCTTTATCTCTGAAGCCGTAGTAAGCAGCCGACCGAATTTGCTGACAAACACGGACCAGGTGTATTCCATTGGGACAGTGGAACAATGGGATATTACGGGCGAAAAAGCAGCTGTTTAGCAAGCTGCGTATGATGACTAGAATGAGAACCGAAAGCTGGTGAATAGAAAACAACCGGATAAAATGAAAATCATTTTGGTGGACTCGTCACAGTGTCAACACTGAGGCATGCAGAAAGGGCCAATCTCAGTTGTGTAGGTTAATTCTGATTGTGCAACTATCGTCACCTGAGATCATTTGTTGAGACACACAGGCTAGAGCTCATAATGTAGGTGGGTTAGGGTAACATCAAGGTGTTTTTTAAACACAGGTAAAGAGGAGTGGAAACGACGTAATTTGGGAGGGCATTCCATTTCTAACACACACACACAGGGAGCAAACGTTCCAACGACATTCTATCCGACTGTATTGCGTAGCTAAATTGAACTGGTGGCCCCATAAATTAGTGTTGTGGCTCAGTCGTAGTGTGTAACGGCAGACATGGTTGGGGTTCCTTAGAATCTGGTAGGCCATAATATGGTCGCCACCTAGGTGCCGGTACCGGCCGGCCGCTGTGGAATTTTAGGGTTCTCAGTCTAAGTTGATAAGATTGAACAACCCGTTGACGTGCTTCGTGAATCGTTGCTGCGGAGTCTCGAGCGCTGCGAGGTCTTGCTTGTACCAGGGCCGCCCGGCCTGCACTGCGTAATTCACATGAGGCCGCACGTTTGTGTTAGGCAACTGCGAACAAACAGAGGGATCAAACCGCCCAAATACCCTCCGCAGCCTGCCAACGTGTTGGTTCCCAGTCATTGAGGTCTTCACAGATTGTTCTGAACAGCTCAGATCAGCCTGGTCTAGTAACCTAATGTCGCGCTCCTGGTTGACTTTTTGTGGGACATGGTCGTTAAGCTTGTATGGCATGTTCGGCTGGTAGCGAACGTGGACCACTTTACACTTCCCCGAGGTGAATTGAAGCAGATTATGGAATGACCACTCAACCGCTTTGTCCAGGTCTCGCTGAAGTGCATGGTGATCTCCTTAGTCGGCGATCACCCGCCACATTTTAACATCATCAGAGAACAACAAGAAAGCTAGTGGAATCAAACGCGTAAGCTCGTTAATGTACACGAGAAATGCACGAGGCCCCAGAACTGATCCTTGTGGAACTCCAACTTCGACATGAATCTGCTTGAACAGCGCACTTTGAACTCTGCCCTGAAGTTGCCAATCCTGCAAAAAATGTCTGGTCGACCCAAGAATTGGCTCCCCGACTCCATAGCTTTCGACTCTGTGAAGCAGAATGCGATGGTCTAATCGGTCGAAGGCTTCGGAGAAGATGAGGCAAATGACCTCTTTCCCCCTACCTTTATCGTCCACACGTCCAACCACTGCATGCAACCAGTAAGTTGCTAGTGCATGCAAGGCGTTACAGGAAAGCTCGCTGCTCGCGTGCTGACACCTTGTGGCGTTCTAGTTGGTCTCAGCGATGATTACCCCCATCACCTTTGAGAAAGCTGGGAGGAGGACCCCTGGGCGATAATTGGCGGGTTCCGAGCGAGTACTGCTTTTGAAAATTAGAGTAATCAAGTCCTATTTTTACATGATAGCCACAATTGGCTTATCTTAACACGTTTGAAAAAAATGCGACAATGGCCCGGGGGTTCTTCGGCATAGAACGACTAGGTTGTGGTGCTGACGAGATATACCAATTGGTGATGGCTTCTGATGGTTCGTACGGTCTCATGGTTTGCAACCAGATATTTCGCATAGCATACCAAGTTGAGACTGTTGATTTCATGCTCAGTAGGACGCAACGGGTAATTTACGGTTAAAAGATCAATCATATGCTCTTTGTTGGCAAGCAAAAGCTCCATTACAGATGGCCTGTTACTTGTTCTGAACCGAGTGGGCTAGGTGACATGACTGTAAAGCGGAACAACAGTTACGAGCTCCTTAAGACCAGCTCTGAATTGCTTCCAAACAATGTACGTTGAAAGCACAATGACAAGGACCTGAATGTATCATCCTTTTATGGTGTTATTTTCACTTACAAGTGCAGGTCCGGTTCCTCCCATGGGTGTAAGCCTGGCGCTCACCAGTTGCTCGACCACTTCTGTTAGTCTTTCACACCACTTCAGTAGCACAACTAGACAGCTAACAAATGGGATAGAATTGCATACTTGACAGAACCAAAACGCCTCTGATGTGTTAGTGTGCAGTTTTGTCGGCCTGGTCCCAAGACGGTTAGTATGATAAGAATTCAAACACATGGTACCCACCAGACCATCTTTTACCACTTTAGCACATAATTCGCATTTGCTCTTCATACGAGACATATTCACAGTAGGCCTGCTGTTTTAAGGGATAGCAAGAGGACAGAGATACTGACGCACCGTGTTTGACTTCGCTTCAATATTCGTTGCGTGTCTATTGGCACCGGTTTGAGGTCAGAGGGGTCAGAGGTGTCGCGTCCAGATGAGTCACACGTTCCTTAGGATACATAGGCGACGTGCGTACTATCGATCTATCCGGTAAGTGGATAGGCAGCGATGCGGTGTAGGATTGAGTCAACGCAAAATGACTTGGGAAATACTGTCTAATGATGACGATGGCTACACCAAAGGCGGACCAAATTGACAACTATTGCTTTGTACAGCGACTAGAAGGAGTGGTAGCAAGATGATCGGGTGCCTCTCAAAAAGATATTTAAAATAAGACCACAAGAGCTCTTGTGCAACGAGAGGACAAATAAATGCTCCGATAAGGTGCAAACACGGTTGACTTCGAAATTGCAAAAGCACAGTTTGCTGGTGATTCGCAAATGACAGATCCAAAAGATGAACATTGATAGGAGGAGCTCGCGGAGCAAAATCGAATGATGGCACGTAGGTCTCTGTGAGATTAAATCAGAAGGTTTAAAGGCGAAGAACGCAGGAGGACACTATTTTGCGACCGCTCGTGTAAAGTGTGCCAAAAAATGCAAAGTAATTGCAAAAATTGATAGATGGCAGTGATGTGATTGCTTCTAAAATATATACCTAAAAATGCCCTACGGATAAAATTTCAATTGCAATTTAGGCGCAATTTTCGGTTCGTGCAGGCCATCTATGCAAAGATTAGGGATTTCATATCGCGCATTCTCTGTACATTGATACGAATGAGAAAAAGCATCCTAACGAATGAAAGCAGTTGTAGTGCAAAATGCGCACCAAACACCGCTATAAGCCACAAAAGATGCCCTGAAATCATGAAACAACTAAGACCTGTGAGGTACCAGTGGCAGAGTTAGCCTATCAGATAGCCTATCCTTAAAAATATTATGATGCTGATCTAAACTCGCAAGTGGAATTTCTTGCTGTAAATTTGTTAAGAATATTTATCCTCTAATGCATTGCGTTTTGACTATGTCTGAACACAATCATATAGAACTGCTTAATTGTACTGTCCTATTAATATGCCGGGGGAAGTTGATTTTTAATCAGACAGGAGTATCGAACCTTTTCATCCTCGTAAATACTGAAGTGTTAAGTTCCGAGATCTTATACTAAGAAACTGTGTAAGTGTGTATCTTCAACACTAACGTAAGCGCAGGTGCTGTATCGGATGAAAAATCTTGTACCCTCTTACCATTGTCATCTTCTTCTGGAGTGTGTACATCTATAACAAACAAAAGCAATGTGAATAACATTTTGTACATGAGACTGTTGGGGACTGAACAGATGAAAAATCATCCAGTGCAAACCAAATTACGAAAAAAACGGGCTCCCCGTGACTTTTAGCTAATGCTAGCGACTTCCATGCTACTTATAGTCTCGATCAGTTGTTCACCATCGTATCTCTTATTTTACCGTCGTTCTAGGTTAGAAACCAACCAAGCATTAAATCGTGCAAATAAGCTTGTAGTAGAGAAAGTATGTCTGCGTGTTTCTTGGCTACCATCATGTTGATTTGGGGTTTTTACATGGGGATAGTCAAACTGAGGCTCTAACTCGCAACGTGCGAACACAGGTAAACATTTTGCCGCTAGAAAACAGCGATTGGTGGTCATCGCTAGTTGAAAATGTCGTTGAGCTCCCAGTTGGGTTAATCGGGATGCCCGTGGTACCAGTTGGTTGCGCGTATCCATCCGCATAACAGTTACTTGCAAATAGTCAAAGAAGGCAACATCCATGCTGCCGGTTCAATGAGGAACAGTAATTAGTTGGACGGGACATAGTGCCAGCCTGTTCACAAAACCCACTGCCTTTTACCAAAATGTAGAAACAGGCAGTAGTTCGACGTAAGTAGGTAACTGGCGTCGACAAGGGTTTTGATAGATATTTAATCGTTCATAAGTTGCACCACTATGTTGGGCTGTGTACTAGATCATATTCACCCTGGCAAATGCTAAGCTTCAAGAAGGAATTTTCAGCCTTCTCCTCCTCCACCTGATTCTCATCATCATCATCATCAAGACCTTCATCATCAACATCATCATCATCATCATCATCCTCAACAGGAATACCCCAGGCATTTGAGCTGATGCCTCGCCGTCATAATTTCACAAATACCTGCGGAGTAAAGAATAATATGAGGACGAGAAAGGGAGTCTGTCTTACAGCCATAATGCCCTACGCAAGCATTCAAAATCAAAATGTGTACAACTCTTTAACAACATAACATCACAAACAGTTGGCTATCGTGCAACTATAAGGCAATATCGGTAAGAGAACTCCCTTGCGACTTTAACCGCCCCGTATCATAGTCAACCATCACACCGCAGATAATTCAGCACCAAACACAAGTTAAACAACTGTCACGGCTCTGCTACCTACTGTGAGTCACGTCCTGTAACTTATCGAGCCAAGCACAAGACGGATCGATTGGAAGGCAATACCAGCCAACAGCACCCGGTTTCGTAGTTGGTGACTTCACTTCACGATGCCGAGTTAACTTTCACCGACATCGAGCCTTGCGCCACCCTGCAACCAGTAAGCAAATCAGAGCTCTCCTCGGTAGGCAGTGACCGGGTATACGTAGTATGTGCCAAGGCGAACATAAACTTAATTAATGTTATTTGCTGCTCTTAGGATCTAGCATAGTTATCACTATCTAGTATTCGTCTACACGCATAATCATTGGTGATAGACTAATACAATTCGACACCAGTAATGCTTTGTAAGCAGCGGTCAACGTGTTTGAGAAGGTTCAGATCCTCAAACTGAAGGGGTCAAGTCTCACTACCACAGAAAGGGACCGCTATTACTGTGCTCTTGTGCGGTGAACTTGCAAGATGGTGGAACCTGACCCATTAGATCAGCCGACATAAGGAGGCTGGTTACCTCCAACAACAGGTGTCCTCGCCTTTTTTTGCTCATATCTTGTGTAAGCAATGACAGTGTTCGACGCCTTGTTTATGGCACATGAAGAGGATATGAGCAGCTCAGCGATACTGTATCACGCACCAGGCTCCGATGGTTGAGCCACGTGTTGCTCATGCCACCACACCGTATCGCAGGAAGTGCGTTCTTTGCTCGCTAGGGGTGTGGATGGGAGAAGAGGAGGAGTGGCCAAACGATGACTCAATCAAGAAAAATGAATGCCATTATTTCGAAGTTTGCCTCGGTTGGAGTCTCCTCGCTCCCTGTTTGGGGTCCGAAAGAGAATGAACACGTTTGTCTAGCTACACTAATGGACATGGCAAGGAGCCAACCTCAGTGACGTTTGCGTCGTGAGTACCTTTGTCCATCCCCCTCTCGCTTAGCCTCCCTCCCCAACTACGATCTCATTTACTAAGCATATCGTAACTCCTCTTTACAGCCAACATAGCCGGCTGTTAACTCTCCGGAATGATATCCATCTGTTACTGGTGACTCAGCCGGCGTGCCTCTGTTGTAGGTTTGTTCTTCTTTTCTTTTTTATAGTGGCACGATAACTGATGCGTTTTCCACATCTAGATAATACGTATGACGATGACGCTTTAACCTTGTGCACACGGCGCATCCGACCGATGGAAGCACTTTTCCGGAGCAACTGATGTCGCAGTTTCAAAAGTCAGTTCCATCTTTTATAATATGTGAACTAAGTTCAGTGGTTATGTGTCCACCGTTGCTGATGCACTTGCCAAGTGAACTAATCAACTATTTCGTATTCTTCACTATCAAGGAGTCATCAAGTATCTGATCGACCTTTAGCGGCAGTTTAGACTTTGGATGTGCAAAGCGCATGCCAATTTAGAGCACTACCTTGTGAGGACCTTCAGTGTTGGCTTGGCCGCCCCAACATTGATGAACAACAAGACAGTATCGTCCGCATAATCAAAATCAACTAGCATTTTACCAGTCAGCTTTTCGACTCATGCATCTTTAGATTCGGCAAAGGGACACTCCACGCTGGAGTCTACAACGAAGTTGAAAAATTGAGGAATTTGGACAACTGACGAACGCCACCTATCGGGAAGACATCTGATGTGTCACTGTATACACTGATGCGGCTTGTGGTGCTCGAGTATAGAATACATAACGTGTTCACATTTTTCATGGGAAGATATTTTCGTGTAAATAATTCGAAAAGTATGGATCGATCGAACGCACGTTTGAAGTCAAGGAACACAGCTACTCTCGATTTGAAGCACATGTGACACTGTGCTATCCTTCACCGCAGAGTGAATACATGATCTATACAGCCCGGCCCTAGGCGGAAACCTGCACAGACTTGGTTAAGTATACATTATTATGTATCAAATCATTCGGCTGGCTTGCCGAACAACCTCCTCGTGGTGCCAGCTGGGTGTTTCGGGATTTTCCCGTTCCAGCAAATGGTTCGGCGGCAGTGTTCCAGGACGTGGTGGGTTTTCGCCTGGCAAGCGTTCTCCCTATAAAAAGCCACAATTGTCCGTTTAACAACACTGTGACGTGGCGGATGTGACTCGCCACTAAATAAATTCATTGCCCCTTGCTTCATCCTGGCGAGGCACTGTATTCCAGCAACCATATGCTGTATTTCTGGGGAGCATTGGGCCCCTGTTTGACAAAGGAACAAACGAAAGGCGTATGAACTGAGCAATCAGTCACCGGCTTCCAATGGGCGCGATTCCCTGAATTCGCTCCGCTGCCTTGCGGGCAGGCTATTCAGCCAAAGGCTCGGGGTGGTGTCCCCTAAGTCAACACCCTACTTCGGCTTGGGCAACCGGGTAGTATCTCGCCCTCTGAGGAAACCATGGACATTGCTGTGTTGTGTTTTATTCTACTGTTTCTGTACCTTCGTTTGAAACCCATGGTTTCTGATGGCATTATGTCTGTTAGCAGACTTTTGCAAATATATAAAAGCATTCACTTTAGAGCGAAAGAACTGTGAGTTAATGAAGAGCTTATGTCTTTCGGTTTTCATCCAGATGCACATTAGCTATTTATTTGTAAGGATGTGAAAATGACCGCATCGCTGAATAAATGGGATGGAAACTGAGATTTTGCGAACCGAGGAACAATGAACAATGAAGTTATACTGGTTAGGAAGCACTGCTTTACTAGTCCCGTTGGGTGGTTGACTTGCCGAACAACCTTCTTGTGGTGCCAGCTGGGTTGTTCGGAATTATCCCGTTCCAGCGAATGGTTCGTCGGCATCGTTCCAGGATGTGGTGGGTCTTCGCTTGGCAAGCGTTCCCCCATAAATTGTCACATATGTCCGTTTAACAACACTGTGTCAAGGCCGACCTAACCCGCCACTAAATAAACTCACTGCCCCTTGCCTCTCTCTGAGTGACATTGTAATTCGAGGGTGTGTTGGGCCCCTGCTCCTATGCGGTCCTAAAGACGCATGAACCACTTGTTTGGTCACCGGCTCCCAACGGGTTGCGTTACCCTCATATCGCATTGCTGCCTTGTAGGTTAGCTTCCTGATCAAAGGCTCGGAGTGGGGCATCTTAAGACAACACTCTAGTTCGGCCTGGGCAACCGGGCAGTAACTCGCTCACTGACGAACAAGGAACATAATCATTCACACGCTCTCTTGCTGATACTATGTTATTCACTCATGTTACTATGCCAAGTTCACAAGCACAAGCCACTATTTTACCTACCATTCCTTTATACCATTGGCACCCATTTTTGCCTGCTTCCTCCATGGCGATCAACCTCACCTACACCGATGAACCTGTTCCCGTGACATCTGCCAACTCAACCACACAGTGCTCAACAGATAGCTGCCAGTCCCAAAGTCTCCCATCTTCGCTCCTGCAACCCCGGACGCAGTTCAAACGTGCAGCCTTCAACGTACGCACATTAATGCAGATCGGTCAGCAAGCGGGACTTAAGCACGCACGTTGGAGACCCTTAGAATTGATATCTGCTGCTCGAATGAAACACGACTCGGTATACGAGCTGGCGTCACCGCTCCACCAACGCACCTGCTTCCACCTCCACCTCTCCGGTGACGCCGAGTCTGCCGCATCTAAGTAAGCTGGTGTTAGAATCGCAACCAGTGCAAGAGCCGAAACTTCTATGGTTTGATGGGATTCCGATCAATAGTCGCCTTTGTGCGATGAGGCTCCATGGCTCTTGTAAAGTTAATAGACGTCGCGTCAAAAAGTGTGCTCTCGTCGTGATCTCTGACCATACACCCACTGACTGTGGCGCGGACACAGTCAAAGACCAGTTCTACCAGAACATTCCTGAGCTGCT